GCGATGAGAACGATGAGAGCGCGATGAGAACGCGATGAGAACGATGAGAGCGCGATGAGAGCGCGATGAGTGCGCGATGAGAACGATGAGAGCGCAATGAGAACGCGATGAGTCTCAGCGGAGTCAGAACGTTGAGTGTTTACAGAAGCTGGAGTCGACACACGAACAGAACGTGATGTTCTAGAACTGTCCTGGTTCCATTTGACTGATGGAGCCAAAGTCAGACATGATCAGTTTAAGGACGGTGGGAACTTTGAGGACTCGTTCTGTTTTTACAGCTTCTGGCTGAAAAGCCTCAAAGCATCCTGAACGTCGATGGAGGACCTTCATGTCCACGGAGAGCGAGGCGACCCCTGCTGTGTTCTCGCTGTGACGCCTGGATGGGGATCAATAAAGAACAATCCTCATGTCAGCAGTTTCTAAAAGCTGATCCAACTTTGAGTTTCATTTGAAAGCGGAGTTTGAAGCTCTGAAGGTTGGGATGGATTCTGCAGTGGATGTTTACGGACCAGTTGGATCTTCAGTCGCTCTAAAAGCACCTTAAGATCCTTTAAATGAAGTTCAGGAAGCTCGTCACAGTTCCTCCCTGCAGTATGTAGGTCATTAAACACCTGCTGTTCTGGTTCTGGCTCCTCTGGGGGCCCGTATTATCAGAGTTTACAATCAAACACTGGCGCTGCCTTGATGGCGTTTTATTGGACTCTTGTTTGTGGCCTTCATGAACTCACAGGTGGAACATCAGCGCTTCACTTTTGTAGCTGCTCCGTAAATCTAAACGTCTTTTACGTTAATATTTCCTCTGCAAGCGGCTTTTAAACAGTTAAACATGGAGCCAAAGTTCTGCAGAAACAAGAAGAACAGAAACACTCTAATGAATGGAGCCACAGAAAAGTCCTGAAAACAGAAGATAAACCCGAACCCGGACGAGGAACGAGTCGACACAAGTGTTTACAGGACGACGATCCACAGCAGCTTCATCATCTGCATCGTAAAGAGGAACGAGTCCAACAGTTGGCGTCTCCAGAACCCTCCCACAACACACCCGGTCATTTTCAAACCCAAACTAAGAGCTCAGCTGTTCCGCTGCTTTCATACAGAACCGTTCATGTTGAACTTCATGTGATCTTAGGTTCTGTTTTCAGCTGCTTCCTGAAGCGTCCACTGTGGTACCAGTTGCTTTATTGTTCTTTTATCCTGTAAAGCGTCTCTGAGTTTCTGAGCAGCACTAAACAAATGGAATGTAATATTATTATTATTATTATTATTATTATTATTTTAATGAGACGTGAGCAGCAGGTGGAGTCTCTTCATGCTTTGACCTGCAGGTGGCGCTCTGCAGGAAGTCTGCATCCTGAAGTCAGACCAGCGTCTCCACTGACGTCAGCAAATCCTCCGAAAACACAAACTCTCATTAAAACTCGTGTTTGAAGGGAACTTCTTCCTTCCTTTGAACAGGACACACACTTTATTGAAAAGGTTACAGAAGACAAAACGAACCAGCAGCACAGCTTCACGCTCGTCTCAGTCTCTCTGTGGAAACACCTGAAAACGTTCCACAGACGCTTTTGGTGCTTCGGTTCCTCGGAGGAGCACTGTTCTGGTGTTTTTACCGGTTCTGATTATCAGACATGTGCAACAACGATATTTTGATCAAACTACACTTTCTGACTCCACCAACACGGTTTGGACCTCTGAGGATTTCTGCCATTGGTCGTTTTGTTTCTGGACAAAGCAGCTGAAGCCTGAAGATTTTAATCAGCGTGTTGCTGCTGATGGAGAACAGAGACGAGACAGAAGCTGACAGCTGGAGGAGCAGAACATCAGAACAGCAACACTGACAGAGGATCACACTGTACACACAGTAGTACTGGTACACGCATGTACTGCAGCACTGGTACTCGTATGGTCTATTGCTGAGCACACTGGTTCTCCAGGCTGCTGTTAGAACCCACGTGGATCATCTCCACTGGTCTCGGTTTCCTTCTCCTGTCGTCTCGGTTGTTCTGCTGCTGGTTCTCCTCCATGTGTTCCTCTCTGCAGGCGGTCCAGTGAGAACTGGAGAACCACAGGAACAGACCAAGTGTGTTTGAGTTCATGCAAACTACTTGAAGAGGACTAAAACCAGTTACATTCAGCCAGATGGCCACATGATCCCAACAGACCTTCACCAACATCTCTGCTAACAGACTGTTCCCTTCACAGGTTCATCTGGTCGGAACACACACGTCAGAACATTCAGATTACTGAATGGAGTTTGCTGCTGCCGCCTCCACCTGAGCATCCGTTTGTCCTTCTGTCTGATGTTAACGTGTCCTCAGTCCACCTTCATGCTGTGAAGCTTCAGTCTGCTGAGCTGAGAGCCACAGCAGCTGT